TGACCCCACCCCCCTCTGACAGCAGTGTGAGTCTGAAGGACAGCCTGGATCCGAGCGACGACACGGCAACGCCCAGCGACGAAGGGCTGCCCCCTCTCACCTCTTAATAGTGTTTGTGACTGTTGGTACAGCTATCTTTGTGAGGACCAGCCAGACGTTGTGATTGGACATTCAGTGTATGTGTGTGACCTCGGGTAACTTTTTCTCCAATCAGAGCAGAGCAGTAAGACGGGAAGTGGACCTGAAGTCTTAAATGAGTTTCAGAAACTGGTTCTCTTTACATATTGTTTTAGAAATACTGGGATATTGCTGTTTATGATGAAAAAAAAACAGTGACGTAGAAGTAGCCGCAGGAAGTTTAAAACAGGAAACTGATTCTCTCCTTTGACTGGACTTTGTTGGGCTTTTATTTTGTTAAACTGCCACATTTTTATAGACATTTCACAATAAAAGCCCTCAAGGGAAGGGACAGAACTACGGGAGGCTTTTAATGTGAAACATGCAGGAAACATGAACCACACCCAGAAGCATGCTGGGAACATTTGAACACGTCCGGCCAGTGGACGCAGGGGGGCCTTCAGAATAAAGCGCCACCTGAAGGAGCTCCAGAGAAGCTGTGATAGGTGATTTAATGTCAGTTTGTATATGCTGCAGAGATCTGTGTATATTTCTGTTACCACCAGGGGGCAGCAGCTCCTCAGCTACACTGTAAAAACCACATTCAACTCTCGCATCTCTCAGCCAATTAGGGGCCAGGACAGCTGCTCCTCTCTGATTGGCTGGTTTTCAGTGACTGATTGAGTGACTGCTGATCTGTGTTTCTTATGGACCATCTCTGTTTATTGTTCTGAATGCCATCACCCCACGGGTGGTCATTAATGTTTTGCCTTTTTAATACTTTTTATCTTTATATCTCCATCTCATATCTCCATCTTTGATTTGTCAATTTACTTATCTTTTATATCTTTAACCTTTATATCTCCATCTTCCATGTCATCATTTTTTCTAATCTGCCCTCTGGGGTGCGGGGTTATGTGAGGGGGGCGGTGACGCGATTGGTGGGGTCTGTCTGTTATTTTACAGTGTTCGGTAACCATGACAACGTTCATGTGACTGTTTTGAGCCAATCATGTTTTCTCAAATGCATCCCTGTCAGACGACAGACTGTACTGAAGATTTCAACAAAAAAATGCAAATAAATGTTAAAAACGGACTCCAGCTTCTCTCCCGTCTCTGTTAGCATATTAGCCTTTAGCAGCTTTCATGTGGTGTGGCAAGAATCAGAAAAAAGGGTTTGTGAAAGAACAACCCTGACCCTGGGAGGTGGACCATGCGAGGAGCGCCTGAATGCGCCACTAGTGTTGGCGTTCGGCAGAATAATCATATTGTGATGTTAGGGAACTCCATAAGTTAGATTTTATATTCTATAAACCCAGAGTGCAGTTTATTTTAACTAAAAGGGTTAAAGAGTCTTGCCAAATATTATTTCACAGAAACATCAAGCCTCGATTCAAAGTCCAGAAATCAATTTACACACTGAGCTCACAAAACAAAACACAAACTGTTGCATCATGGGAAATGATCCTGGCTTTATTTAATGTCATGTGTTTGGATGATGTCCCTTTCCTGGGCTGTCATTGGCTCAGGCGTTGCAGCGGTCGGCGTGGCAACAGCTCCATCCAGGTTTATTACACGAGTCGAGCCGAGTGCAGCCTTTCTCTCCGTTATCTAAACAGGAAACGCATCATCAGACAGAGACAACCCTCCAAAGGCATTGAAAGTGTAATATTGTTCAGAGGGAAGTTGTGAGTCGGGGGTTGCGGTCGGATAATCCAAAAATCAGCTCCTATCGTCTATCCCTTGACCTCTGAGTGAAAGGTCACGGGGTTAAGGGATAGGAGAATTCAAAAGGACTTAGGAGAAGAGACTGCACTTTCACAATCTGACGTGTTTATGATGCGCCAGCGGAGGTCATTGTGTGCGTCTGCTGCTGTGGGGAAACTATGGAAACTACAGTTTTCTATACAACGGACTACAACATGGATGTTTAATAAGAACGAGGGACTCATCTAGAGACTCTGCACCGTGCTCTGATGCTGTTGCTTTATGCTTTATGAACAACAGAGAAACATATTCTTCATGACCAAAGCTGGAATTGAAATAAAAAAGGAAAGTGAAACTTCTGCTCGTCACCCTCTCCCTCCGGTCCACATTAATACAAATGATCCCAATACGTATGATTGTATGAAAAGATCTTAAAATCAATACAAATGTTTTTATTATAAACGTTAGTCCTTAACACCTATCACTGTGTACATCATTCAAACATCTTTTAAAAGTTGAACAACCCCCACACAGCTCAGTGAAATGTTGACTTTATTTGATCATTTCAGTAAAAACTAACATTCATATTTCTCTTTTTGATTATAATACTGATGAACGTTCAAAACAAAGCACTTTGGCAACTTACCACATACGTTTTAAAATGCTTAATAAGCAC